ATTCACTTAGTAAAACAAATCTGTGGATTAATCCTGCAGTCGCTCACTGACGTCTTCCTTGTATTAAAAAAAAACAAAATAAAAAATGAATTAACTCATTTTAGAGATCCTGTGGTTCATTATTTTCTAAACTAGCTACAAAGTTGTTGTTGAGTGTCATCTTTAATATTCCCTCAGTATGAAAAATGAAGACCCCAAACCCAGACCCAAACCAGTGGTTACTCCGTATGTTGCGGGTGTTTCGGAGAAACTGAGACGTTTATTTTCTAAACATGATGTGCCAGTAACTTGCAAACCCCAAAACACATTACGGCAAAGGCTGGTTCACCCCAAAGATCCGGTGCCCCGGCACAAACAGAGCAATGTTGTATATGCTGTTAAGTGCCAGGAGGACTGCGACCAGTTATACATCGGGGAAACAAAGCAGCCACTGTTCAAAAGAATGTCCCAACACAGACGAGCTACATCTAATGGCCAGAACTCTGCAGTTTTCACTCATTTACAGGCCAGCGGTCACTCTTTCAGAGATGAGGATGTTCTCATTCTTGATAGAGAGGAACGTTGGTTTGAGAGAGGAGTAAAAGAAGACATTTTTGTAAAGAAAGTCCGTCCATCATTAAACAGAGGTGGAGGCCTCCGTTTTCAGTTGTCCCCCTACTACAGTGCTGCTATTGCCAGTATCACTCCACCCCCTGTTAACAATAGGTGTTAATTAGGTGTCAACGATAGCCATGTGATGTATCAGTCACATGGAGGCAGGGCTTAAAAGCCTGAATTTTGCCTGAAACTCTCAGACTGAAGAAGTCTCTTGGAGGAGAGACGAAACGTTTCATTAAAGAAGAACCCGTCCAGAAGACCTATACAATTTTTTTATTTTTGATTTTTTACCTGGATTACTGAGATGCATCAGGACATTCCCTCAGTATAAAATCTGTCTATTAATCTTGGAGTTATTTAAGCCGACGTCTGCCTCGATCGTATCAAACACACACAAAAAACAGAATAACTGTAACTCATTTTAGCGATCCTGTGGTTCAATATTTTCCAAACTAGCTACAAAGTTGTTGTTGAGTGCCATCTTTAATATTCCCTCAGTATAAAATCTGTTGATTAATCTTGCAGTTGCTCACTGACGTCTGCCTCGATCGTATTAAACACACACGAGAAAATCTGAGTTAACTCACTTGGGGGCTCAGAGGGGCATCGGAGGCGGGCTCACTTTGCTTGTCTCTCTGCCTTCGTGTTTTTTCTGAACGCTCGGAGGACAGAACACGTGTCCGTCTCGAACTGAGCTGTCTGAGGAGAAACAAACACTGGTGTTATCAGTGGTGCTTTGTTKAAATGGTTTTGTTGTTTTTAGCAGAAAAACAACAACTGTTTTTATTTTCTGGCCTTGGTTTTTGCTCGTGTCTCTGTGGGCAAAAATATGTGAGGAGCCACTGGACAAACTGGGATGAAAYTTACAGAAAGTATTTACTGAAGGATTACAGATCACATCAGATGCTCTTCGTCTCATGAACTTCATGCTTTGGGCGTAGATTTAAAGACCCTGAAGCTAAAATAAGTCAATTAAACATGTTCATTCATTTTTCTCATATAATAATAATAATAATCATATTCTCCCAACAACTTGCTCTGATTTCATTTCCTGGTCTAAACAAACAAAAAAAGATGTATTTATGGTGTAAAAGATGCAGTAGAAACCAGAGAACACGTCAGGCAGACGCACCAATAAACACAAACACTTGATCATGTGAACCTTCTGTCAGCGTTCGCTCCACCCAACACAGCTTCCTCTCTGTGTCATCACACAAGCATGCTCTCACAATCACAACGACACAGCCTGTCGAGGAGGGAGGAAAACAAAACGGCAGAAACATGAGAGGAGAGACGACGAGAGCCGGGCTCGTTCTCCCAGACGGGAAGGATTCAAGGGGATGACAGAAAGCGGGAGAGAGAGAAGAAGATGTAGAGAAGCAGGGAAGAGGGAGGGCAAGTTGATGGAGGACGATCTCGGCGTACGTGGAGCGAAGCTCTGACGGAGAGATGATGTGAGTGCCTTTTAGAGAGAAACTCTGGACGCCTTCTTCTCCTCTTCCTCCCAGCTGTTTCTCTCCTCTCCTCCTGTCTGCATCCAAACCCCCCTTCTTTCCATCGCTCTGCTCTACACGCTCATTCAAGCTTTGTTTGCAGCAGATGACTGGAAGGAGCGTGTGTGTTTGTGTGACGTATGGAATAAAACAATCCATCCATCATGCTGCTGGTCTACATCCACATCCAGCTCTTTTGGGAGGACTCTAAAGGCCTAGGTCTTCTCTGGGGTCTCCTCCCAGTTGGACATGCCTGGAACACCTCCAAGGTTCATCCTCATCCGCTAAACCACCTCGACTGGTTCCTGTCGACGTGGAGGAGCCGGGTCTCTCCTCAGAAAACTTACTCTGACCGCCTTTATCTGCTATTTAGTCTTTTACGTACTTTTATTCCTGACTGAAAACGGGAC